AAATTTGTGGGTGAGGGCGATTGGTTCTGAGAAAGGCTGACTCCTCTAAACAGATTTGCGGACCTCGCGTAGATCAGTGCCTATGAAAATCCGGTTACTTACTAGCCGACTGATCGGCTGCAGCGGCCAACAGCCCCCAAACGCAGTGCCAAACACAGTCATGCCTTACCTCCACTTGCTTAAGACCCCGGGAAAAAAGATAACATATGTCCAGTAGTGATCGATTCCCTTCAAAACCAACAAGGGAGAATACAAGAACTTCCTAAGCAACATGGAAGCTTAGCAATTAGCTTCAGGGCTGACTGCCCCTGGACGCTTTCCGCGTTTCCCATTCCGCGTGTCCCATTCCTTGACCCCTCAAGAAAATTACAGCTGGCCTTTGGTCGTTGACCCTTCGGAGGCTTAAAGTTTCACCTTCACACAAAAATATGGCATCGAGGCGCAACTCGAAGATTCACCGCCACATTCTGTGGCGTCACTGGGTTCAAACAGCCAGAAGACGGTGCCTCAGCCTCCTCAGGCAAGGCCTGCCTCAGCAAAGGGACAGTTGGCAGGTGAGGAATTTGGAGGCGGAAGGCTGTATCTATGAATATATATATATATATATGGTCGCCTCTTTCCAGGGCCAACCTTTGCATATATATATATATATATGTATATATATATATGCCTGTGCGTGTATAAAACAGCCCACAGATATAACAAGGGAAAATAACATCCGACCTCCAGGCTGCCCCGTTCCCAACAGCCAAGCCGCAGGTAGTCCTCCATGGCAGCGGTCTTGCGCCGCTGCAAGGCATGCGACGTGTCGCGGGTCTTCTGGCGCTTGAAAGGCATCCTGGGCTGATTGATCCGAACTGATGCTTTTTCGCTGCCATGCTTTTCTTGGCTTAGGAATGGACATTGCTTCTGTTTGTTTTCCTTTGTTGTTTTTGAAGTGATCCAGCACTACTGGAAATATGTTGTGCTTTTTCCACGAGGGTTAAGCAAATGGAGGCATGCTAGTGTCACTTTGTCGAATGAGTTTGCGCACTATCAACATGGTGATCTGGCCCTCGGTGTTTCACAAGATTCGTTCCAGCTGGGTTACCAAGGATGCACTGATTCAACATACCAGACCAGAGTCTTCTCTCAGCGTTCTAAACTGGCATTCAGGAAACAATGGTCAACGAGATTGAGAGCGAAACATCATTTCCAGTCAACATGAAACCAATGGACGCCTGGTCCTGCCTCTCGCTGGTCTCTCTCTCGCTCGCTCTCTCTGTCTCTCTCTGTCTCTCTCTCTCTCTCTCTCTCTCTCTCTCTCTCTCTCTCCCTCTTTCTCTTTCTGGCGCTGCGTCTGTCTCCGTCCCTCCCTTTGCGGTGCGGCTACCATCTTGACTCACTCGTGCGATTCTGTGCGGTAGACTTCCACATCTCGCCAAGGGTGGCCCAGGCCAACCCGCCATTCCGAGAAATCTCGAAACGGCGAAGGTTCTAGCAGGAGGCTGGCTGCAGGCCCGGCAAGGCACAAGAAGCATGAGCAACCGCTACCCCCACCCCAAAAAAACAACAACAACAACAACAGCAACCTATCCTCTGATTGGGTTGGAAGAGCCTCCCTCCATGTTGTTTGGCCCCTTGCAGCTAGGCTGCAGCTCCTGCTTCTCTGCCGAGCCCCCGCTGTCTGCAGCGGTCACATGGTTCGTGCCGCCGGTGCCGCCGGTGCCGCCGTCGCCTTTCGGCTTCTCTTTGGGCGTGTCTGGCACGTCAGCCTGGCACGCCATGCAGCGCGCAAAGCCGGTGTTGCGCAGCATGTTTGCAACCAGCATTCTATTTGGCCGTTATGTGGCCATGCTTCTAGGATGCGCAAAGCGGTATCGCTGTGAAAGGCTTCGATCATTTTGCTTCCTGGGGCTTCGTCTCAGTTTCAGCTCGGAGGACAGCCGGGCTTCCTCTTGTGAATACTGTGGAACTTACTAGTAGTTTAGATTTAGCCAGTTCGCGCAGTTCTGAGAGGAAACAATTTTGAGCGTTGCACAAAGGTCAGCAGTGTGTTCGCATCAGGCGCCAACAAGCAGACCGTTTGGGCAACTTGGCAACTTCTGCTTGTGTGCTATGTGGGGCAGGCAGGCCCTCCAAAGATTGTCAGCTTGTCTGCTGGGCTAAGTTCCCGAAGCTTCGTGAAGAAAGTACGCTTGGCATTTTCTCACACTCCGCGGATTTTTTTCCCCGAACAGCGCGCCGTCGCAGTGCCTTCGCACAGAAGACATCCTGTTCCCCCTCAAAAAAGAAACCGGCCGATCCAGGTCCTCTCCACCTTCAGAAGACATCGGAAGCCAAGACATCCGGTTCCCCCCAAAAAACCGCCGTTTTTTTTTCAATTTTCAGAAGACATCCTGTTCCCCCCCTCCCCCGAAGAAAAAAAAACAAGGAAAAAAAAGCCTTTATCGAGAACCCCCTCCCCGGCCCTCCCCACCTTCTTCTCCTTGGCGGCGATGCCGATGTTGCTGGGCCGCTTCATGGGCATCCTCACTTGGCTAGTGACCAGGCCCCCCCAAAAAAGTCTACACTATATGGGCCACCACTGAAATAAAGGGAGAGCCACTAAGTCACTAAAAATCAGGGGAGAGCCACTAAGTCACCAAAAATCAGGGGAGAGCCACTAAGTCACTAAAAATGAGGTAAGTCCTTAAAAATAAGTGGAGAGCCACTAAGTCAATAAAAACAAGGGGAGAGCCGCTAAGTCACAGAAAATAAGGGGAGAGCCACCAAGTCACTAAAAATAAGGGAAGAGCTACCAAGTCATTAAAAATAGAGGGAGAGCCACTAAGTCAGTAAAAAAAAAGGCGAGGGCCACTACGTCACTAAACATAGGGGGAGAGCCACTAAGTCACTAAAAATAAGGGGAGAGCCACTAGGTCACTAAACATAAGGGGAGAGCCACTAAGTCACTAAAAATAAGGGGAGGGCCACTAAGTCCCTAAAATAAGGAGAGAGCCACTAAGTCACTAAAAATAAGGGGAGAGCCACTAAGTCAGTAAAACAAGGGGAGAGCCACTAAGTCACTAAAAATAAGGGGAGAGCCACCAAGTCACTAAAAATAAGAGCAGGGCCACTAAGTCACTAAAAATAAGGAGAGAGCCACCAAGTCACTAAAAAAAAAGCGGAGAGCCACTAAGTCACTAAACATAAGGGGGGAGCCACTCAGTCACTAAAAATAAGAGCAGGGCCACTAAGTCACCAAAATAAGGCCAGGGCCACTAAGTCACTAAAAATAAGGGGAGCGCCACTAAGTCACTAAAAATAAGGGGAGAGCCACCAAGTCAGAAAAAATAAGGGGAGAGCCACCAAGTTACTAAAAATATGGGGAGAGCCACTAAGTCCTTAAAAAATAAGGGGAGAGCCACAAAAAAATAAGGGGAGAGTCACTAAGTCACTAAAAATAAGGGGATGGCCACTACGTGTAATTTGAAGGAAAAAAGAATAAAGTGTGTCCACTGGCTGGCTGAGCATCTCTTCCTTGGCCTCCCCGGACCCTGTCCGCTCCCGCGAGCTGATCCGCAGCTTCTCCGGGCGCTTCACCTCGTAGCAGCTGCAGCAGGCCATGCCATGGGCTTGCGCGCGCTACGAGCCGGGCCGCGCCGAGAGACCAGCCGGAAGGAGAGACCGGAGGACCGGAGATTCGGGAGAGACCGGAGATGCGACTTTGGAACTTCTGCAACCTCAACTTGGGTACCTGAGACCTGTGCTGAGCCTTTTGCAACCAACACATGTCATGGTTTGCCATGAACTTGGGAGGCACAGCCTGCGTCACTGTGGCCAACTTGCGTTGCTTGAGCAAGAAGTGGGGCGAGAGGACGCATACCAAAGAGAAGAGGCAAACGCAAATCGCCAATTCCAAAGGCGCGGAACTGAATGGTCAGTCTCTGAAAATACGTACATCCCATGTTGATGCCGAAGGCCAAAGCACCAGCACAACCGACCCTTTAGACCAAAGCTGAACGAGTGATTCCGTGAGTCACCGCATTCCGCGGATTCCGCCTCCAGCGCTTCTGGAGGAGGCAGAGTTTCTGCCAGGCTGTCGAGCAAACCGCCCTCCAAGTCGAACTGGAACTGAGTGTCCACCTTGCTAGGCTGGAAGAAGAGGATCCCAGCATAAACATATTTTTTGCCTGGTTAGTGGAAAACAAAGGGACCCCAAAAAAAGCAAAAACAAAAAACAAAAGGGGAGCAAAACTCTGGGGAAGCTTGTCTGTTGGCATCCAGTTCCGCATCGATCGCATCGCCCGGATGGACAAAATGCCCTCGGCCGCGCCCAAGGAATCTGCAAGGCATGGGATGGCCCCCCTGTCAATACGAAATGTAGTCAAAATACCAGCAACCATGCCTCAAATAATCATGGAATAACGACAACTCTACAAGTTCACTTCCATGGTCACGTATGGGGGATTTAGACATGAGATGACATGAGCATTGAAGCCCTGAGAGTCTTCCAACTTCGGCGACCGAGTTCCGGCAAGCTTGTGGCTCCCGGCCCGTGGGTCACGCCAAGAGGACTGGCCCGTCCGCGAGTTGGCGAAGTAGTGGCCCTCCGGACCTCATGCGCACGAACGGCCCACGTGCAAACCCTTCCCCGAAAAATCTGAACCTGAGCCATAATCAAAACCCGGTATTAGAATGGCCTACCCAGAACCATGTAAAGAAATCAGAAGCTGGCCGCAGCTATTTCCGGTTGGGATTGTCCCTTACTGAGCCTTACTGACCTTCATCTACCCGGGTTTTGCTTGTGGTTCACCTGAGGCAGGCATGGCCCAACCAAAGGCCCTTTGAAAATCTGATCGCAGTATGCCCGAATCGGGGGGATTCTGAGTTTGTAGAGTCTCTTGGCATCGTGCCATGCATGAGCATGAATGTGAGGCCATACGGCAATGCAAACACCCAACACACTGGGCTCCAATTGGGGGGCAATGCCCAAGCTCCTGGCACTCCAGCGGGCCATACCAGCAGTCCAGGTCGGCCTGGACTGAGTGTGCCCGTTTTCTCTTGCTCCAGAGCGCAGCATGCAACGGGCCAATGGTAGGACTGAGAACTCCGCAGTGCCTCTGATGTGTAACAATTCTAGGGATACCTTCCAATTCCATTCTTTCCAGGGATCCGAATCTTTCTAGAAAACCTCCGGACACCAAGGGAAGATGGTTGGTTTTTGAAAAGAACGATGATGGACAAGAATGGGGAATCAACCCCTAGAACAATCCGTGCGACTACATGTGTGTGTTGTACATGCAAGGAAAAACACACACATGCCAGTCAAAGCTTGGCAGTGCTAACCTCTGTGCCAGCGGTCATCCATGAGAAGAGTTCAAGCACCCAGACACCCAAACCAAATTCAATCATACCCAGTGCCTTGCACTACTGTTTGAGCCGCCCTTCAAAACATTGCAAGCCACCTCCGAAAATGTGGAAACTTACATCTTCCCTGCCTTGAGCCGACTCCAAAGCTGCATCTTGGCCTCCTCAAAGAAATCCTGCAGCTGAATTGCCTAAAGGACCCACTTGAGAGAGAACCTGAGGGGGTTCTGGCATGAAATCCCCTGAAGCTGCCTTTGCCAGGCAAAATCATCACACTGCTGGTCAGTTCAACCAACCTGCCTGAGATGTGACTCAGTCAATGCTGAGTGCAAATCTAACATTGGCAGCACGAAACTTTGTCTCTGCTTCTCATAATATGGTACTGAAACAATTTAAGCGCTCGCGACAAAATGTGCTTCCCACGCCGTGCTGGGCCAAGCGCAAGACAACTTGCAAACGCCGGGTCAAACGATCAATCCCAAATCAAATAGAAAAGAAACGCTTAACACAACAACTCGAAAACGACCAGGTGCCATAGGACGGGAAGGGCTATTGAAGCTCAAACCGCTCACTTGTTTGATAGCCTGCACAATCCATTGCACTAGGCGGCGCGCCTCAACTGAAACATGTAGTACATAATGCAGGTCCAGCGATTGATGCTAATAGTAAAAAGGACAGCACAAACAAGCATGCAGTATCACATGAATTGCGTAGCACCTATCCCGTTCCTCAGCTCAAGCCTCACACTACCTTTCTCAATCTCTGTGCCCAAACCCAGCTTCCTGGCAGGACGTCCAACTGGCTAAAACTACCACAACATGGTGCCAATGGCCAGTCCCTTCGCCCAAATGCAAGTATCTGAAACCAATCATTGCTGGAGGGGAGGGGGGGGATGTTGGAGAAAACCCTTCCATGCGATCCTCGGTATGAATCTGAATTCAAGCCCTTTCGCCGGCCAAACTTTTATGAATGAACCCACCCACCCGCAAAGGAAAACCGCCGCGTCTCCCTTCATTTTCCACATCTTAACCCCCCAACCCCGCACCCTCGGTGACCCTCAACCCTCCAACCCCCCCCAACCCCAACCCCCCAGCCCCCCTCCGCACCCTGAAATCCGTCTCCGCGTCCCGGGTCCGGCCCCGGAAACGGGCGAGCCGCCGAGTCGCCGAGTCCTGGCAGGGGTTGGCCAGGTACTGCCGGCCCAGCGCCACGACCCGGCGCAGGGCCGGCAGCAAGGGCGAGTCCCAGGTCGAGGCCTTGCAGTGCCGCGCGTGCCGGATGGGTTTTTCGTCGGAGCTGCCATGCAGCACCCCCAAACTGCTACTCAAGGGAAATAGATGGGGAAAACAGCACCCCCAAAACTGCTACTTTCAAGGGACCCATGGGGAATGCAACCCACTAACGGCTAGACACCTTGACTTTTTATTGGAGGTTGTGGTTAGGGGGTAAACCATCTCAGCGCCATCCAATGGAAGCTGATGCCTCTTTGGGGGAAATGCGTCGGACAATCTGCCAATCGAACCCAGAAAAGGCCTCTGGCTTTCGAGCACTCGAGGCAGGTAACAGCCCAAGGCTTCTTCATGTGATCCCGCATGCGGTACAGCAACCGGGGCCCCCCAAATGCAAAGACCACGCAATTCCTCTCCCGCAGATTGACATGGAACTCGAACAGGCCTTCTTGGAAGGGTCCGTTTTTGCACCTTTTTGTTCGGTTTCCACATTGACCTGAGAAGGCCAGCGCAAACGAACCCGATAAAGCTCCCAACATAAACAGGCCAAACATCCTTGAAAGCTGAAGCGAACTGGCACCAACAAGACAGGGAGCAACACACACAAACACAAACTCCAGTTCTGCCGAACCATGCAGGACCCCCATGCGGTAGAAATTTGCTGGAATGATATGGCAGCACTGACGAATCCCGTAGCTCCTTGTCCAATACATATATAGTACAAGCTTTTTCCAAACGCTGGGCGTTTTGTTGTGTACCTGTGAGGCTGGATGCGAGAACCTAGATAGAAGTCGCACAGGGGTGGGAAGAATTGCAAAAACGAAGCTCTTGAAGATTACGTCCGGTATTCAACAGTCTCTTCATGAAATCTCCCACCGGTGCAAATGACAGGTCATGTTGATAGAGGCATGAAGACTGAAATCAAGCCAGGGAGGAACATCTTTCGTGACAGTCTTTTATATGTGATAGCGAGATTGTCCGAAGCGATCAAACTCATGAACACGTCGAGAATGGTTTTTTAGATATATTGCCCATCCTGCAGCACCAATGAGATAAACATTCAAAGCGTGGGCTTCAACCTCGGTATTGCGGTATGTGGGCATCTGCAGCATTCGCCAAACACTCTCCGGATACTTGGTCCTATGAGGGCACGCTGTCGTGCGCTAGCTGTTGCCTGGGTCTCGGTGTCGACGTAATAAACCTGAACAGTCTTGCTCGCATTTCATTGCATGAGCATGAATTGGGTGGGACCAAACAAGACTTTCATGCAAACCGGTGCTTAACTCAAGCTCAAAAACTCATTAAATCAATCGGACCTAGAAGTGTTTACCATTGTATGTAGTATACGTGTGCGAATGCACCAGTAAAAGCCGATTGGCAAAACAGCCATGTGGATGGATGGGTTTCAGGCAAGCGACATATCGCCTGTGTTGTTTTGAGCCAACATTGGCAGCCACCATCAAGCATATGCTGCATACATATGCTTGCTTTGAGATGTGCAATATTGAACACGGATACGGGAGTACGGCCTTACTTAGCGTCCATGCAACGACGAGGCCTGATGCGAGCAATGAAGCCACCAGTCAAGCGGGGAGCGATGTGGTGAAAAGCACGGACCCTACGGGCTGTGCTTTGTCCTGGAAGCACGCTCCACTCTCATCCTCCTGTCAGGATTGATTGGGAAGGTTCGTTCACATCTTCAGATCGTTTCAAGCGGCTCCTTGACTTCACAGCCAAGCGACGCAGCCGCTGGCGTAATCCATGTGCTTGCTCCAGGGAGCTGGCAAGGGATCCACCTGGGCGCCGTACTCCGCGATCCTTAGGCAGCGCTTTTTGGTACGATCACGACCAGACAAAATCTGACTGCCACGAAGTTAAAAACACAGACACGCGAACACAAACACACACGAGGGAATCTGCTTGCCCATGTCAGAAAGAAAGCAGCGTCGGCAAGCAGAAAGCAAGACACAGGCACGAGCGCGCAAGGAGCTTATGATTTGTGTATCTAGGGCTGCTGTTTGTTTGCATTTTGAGCTGAGTTTGCTGTGGTGAACATTGTTTGGCAGGGTTGTGGTGGACTTAATACCTACTTGAAACACTATCCAACCCATCATGCATTGTCGTGAATTGTCATGACAATCTTGCGCTACCCACCAAGTTCCCTCCAAATAAGGAGTTGATAGGAATTGGCCGCACAACCAGTTAGTTCCAAACTTCCGCTTAGCTCTTTCTGCGATCGTTTGAGGGTAGGACAGCGCTTCCTAGAGGCGCTTTCATGAGCAACAAACAGCATCACCTCCCGGACAATTTCTAGCACCGTCGCCGCTTGATCTTTGGGCGGGCCTGGCGATGTTCACCGAGCCAAGGTATCTATGCGCCCGGCTGTGACAATGCAAGCCATGAATGGATCTTCTGCCGAAGGCCAGTCTCTTGCATATCACAGCCTCGACCTCACCTGCACTGATAAAAAGGCGCCCCTCACCGGAGCGATGCACCTCGGTCAGCGGACTGAAGATCGCATCTGCTGCGAAACTGCTGCTAGGATCTAAAGAATCTCAACTGATTCCTGGACTATAGCTCATAAACCAGCAAGCATCTACAATAAGATACAACAAGCACAGCTATCGGCAAACAAAGATCGGTAATCTGGTGACACCATCATGTTGTCGGAGTCATGCTCATATTCCTGTTTAACAAGTCCCGGCACCCCGACAGGTGAGCTTTACCTCTTTACAGGCTCATTGGAGTTCTGGTTGGGAGGGAAGCGGCTGTGGACCACTTGGTGTGCAGGAATTCTGGCGCGGTCTATCGGGCTGGAACCGGAAAAAGTGATTTCCCATCAGCCAAGCTGCCGTTAAAGTACTGCCTCGCCTTGGCCGACAGCCTTGGTGCACACGGGACGTACACGAGGCTCAACTGAGAAACACGTGCATCACTCTTGATAGAGGGTGCTGAACTCGGTTTGGCCGACGTCCGAGAAACATCGGCCAAAAGTTATTTTGCCAGCCTTAGCGCGTGAGCGTCAGTTTGAACCAGGGAAGCAGGCCAAGAATGTTGTTGTGTTCTTTCTACATTTGTCGTGCCCACTTATCTAAGATGTTCCCGGCTCAGCCAACAAATCAACCAAATGGCCTCCGCCCTGGGCTGCAGCAACCAAAGGTCATAGATCCATGCACTACGGCATACGGAGACACATCAAGATGACACAAAAAATGACAACGCGGTTTCTTCCCCGTTCACCAATGCACCAAGGTATCAGAGCCAACCAGCGGGAGCGGGAAGCTAAACCCCTAATCCCCTAATGCAACTTACGGGGTGAAGTGCCACAACACAATACAGCAAGTGAAGTGTTAAGCGATCTTAGAACACCTTTCCACTTCCCTTTGTCCGCAAACCACTTGTAAATCCCAAAGCACTGTGTAACCATGGTGCCCAGGTGCAGCCAATTCGTTGCAACTCACCCCTTCTGAACGGCTCCGAGCCACATGCACGGCTTCACGTCCTTGGGGCGCGTGGTGAGAACCATACCTGGCCACACGCATGTGTCTCAAAGCAGAACCCCCAAATGAGCGGTTGTCCCTTGTCAAAATCTTGCAAAGGGCCACATGCTCGGCATTGCCACATTAAGCCAGCAAAGGATGATGAGGGAATCTCGACAACTGGAAGAAGGGACTTTGAGGGTAGACTTTGGGATTTCCTCAGAACTCCTTTTCCCCACCATCATGCCTTAGTCCTTGAAACCAAAGAAACCACCAAATGCTAAGTTATTCCCTGCCCCTGGGTCAGGTGCCGACTGTCTCGGTGGACATTTCGTCAAACTTCCACTTAAACAGCAACATAGATCTAGAACCCACTGGAAGAACGTGGGCCCCGAGTGCTCAGGGGGAATGGAACCCTCTTCGGCATGTTCGCGTCTCTCTTACTTGAAGTTGAGAAAGGCTCGGGAGGGACGTGAAAACCAAACGGGGTCCGCAGCCGAGTGAAGCAGTCTGACCAGCCAAATCTGAACGCCTCGGGCCTCGCCTGCCGTCCTGGGAGTACGTCCACCGAGCCTCTCGCTCGGCTGGCTCCAACCTGGCGAGAAAAAAAAAGAGCAAAACCATCAAACAGAGTTGATCCTCCAAAACAGAAGCCCCCCACCAAGAAACATAGAACCTGACATGACAGGGACCGGGTCCTTTTAAAGGGATCATGGTCCAAACCAGCACACCCCGAACGTCAGGTTCCATGTTAATTGCTGGGAGGATATGGTTGTCTGGGCTCCATGCTTATTATGCCTCACGGTATTCTCACCTTTTTGGGGAGAACATATCCGCTTGGGAGATCCAGCCGCTCATGGTCCCAAGCCACGGGGTGGGGTGCCGGCACACGCAGCTCCGAGGAACAAAGGCGGTCATTTCGGCCTTTGAGTTGTGGGATTCTGACATGCTCATTCAAGGGCTGCTGACCAACAAGCTGGCCATGTCAGCTCTTTTACCAGCCATTTCAGAAGATCAATATGGCTCCACTGGCTTCCGCCAGGGGCTTCCGTGCGCTTCCGTGAAGTGATGCGAAGGCACGAATGGGAACCCCCCCCCGCCCACCCACCCGGACTGCTCGCCCTCTTCCTTGCACCGCACCTCCTAAAACAAGAATTCATATGAAAAGCTTCAGGAGAGCTTCCACGCTACAGGAACAAAGCAATTTCGTTACGTCTACTTCTGAAATGCACGGTATCTAAACACGTGTTGATTTTAGATGTATAAAGCTTCCGCCGCTCCTCCGCGGAGCTTCCACGATTCCAACCCTACGGAAGTCGTGAAGTCGTCAAAGAAAGTAAACGAAATTATTAAAAAACGAAGCACGGGTTTAGAAGGACCCTCCACCCTGGGCTGCCCTCAGCTCCCCCGCTAAGAGTTTCACTTTTGGTGGGTTACATGGAAACTACCACTAAAGACTAAAAGACTAAAAGGCTAAAACGCTAAGGAAACGGATGGCTGGGAGAAACATGTACTGGGAAATCTGAGTGCTCCGATTCCCAGGCCTGAGGATGCCGGAGACACGGGATCACTGTCCGTGCGGTGGCTGCCGTGGCTGACCCCTAGCACCAGAACGTGCAACGGAGGTCTCAAGCGGTTGCCCGAATGTTGCTCAAACGAGCGAGGCCGGTTCTACATGCAGTGAACATCCTACATCAACTCGCGTGACCCAACAGCAACAGCTCTTGTGAGAGAAAGTTGTTGCTGTTGCCACCCTTTGTATGGACACTACCATTCATCGCAAAGTCATCCCATTCACAGTCATCGACGATTCTCGGACATTCTCGGGCTCAGCCCTTCCTCCCATCCCTCAGCAGTCTGCCTTTTGACCTGGGCACACCTTTTTGCCGGGGTCAAACATTTTCTGGCAACGGGGCCTGATGTGCTTCCAGGGGCCCAGAAAACATCCCCCTGCCATGAGGGCGCCAACTGACTGGACAAAAGTCGGTCCTGGCGACTTCACCCGGATGTCTGGCACCAGTCCTGGCGCGGCAGCTTGAGTCGCTTGAGCTTGCCACTGGCGCGTCCGCGACACCCCCAAAGTTGCGAGCCACAGGCCCAGAATGAACTCGGTTGCGAAATCTGCTCCCCTGCTTTAAGTGTTTAACTTTTAGTGGAAAAAAATGGAAACCTCATAAGTTGGCAAAAAGTTAAAGTCCTAACATCCAAGCAAAATGCACCAAAGGGACAGATGCAAAGAACAAGTCACAATTCCAAGGATGACGCCCAATAGGATCGCAAGAGTGTGGAACCAGGTGCCATGCAAACAAGGCCGGTGCAATGCCGTCAACATCTCACAGCCAAAAAACACTCGCAAGCGAATGGGTGCGATGTGTAAACCAACACCCCTGCATGCTGCATACTATATTTTCTACTGCTCCAGGAGTTGCTTCATTGTAGTCAGCAACACGCGGCGCGCACAATTCACTTTGACGTTTCTTGCGAGCCCGAGATGCCACAGACCGCAAGGCTCGGATCGAAGATACGCTGCTGTTGAAACGGATCCATTTCCGCCGGTATGAACCCCTGTAATTCAACTGGCGGCCTTGGTAGCTGCTCACCGAAGTATGCCCATGTACTTTTGAGGCTATTCCCAATGCAAAATCCCAGTCCCCAATCGACTCCGGCTCCTGGCATCCTCTTCTGGTCTGCCTCCTCCTAGCACCGGAATACAAGCATGTCACCATAAGCAAGCAAGCACTGCCAGAAGTCAGGAGCACAGGTGTTTAACAAGAACACTCCAAACTTGGAATCCCCAAATGTGCGCGCCATGGACAGGTAGTTCAACCCCATCAAGAACAGAAACCCTACCACTACCAGCCACTAGACTTACAAGGAAAGTCGTTTGCTGACGTGGAGAAGCAGTTGCGCTAAACAGTGCAGTCGGCTGGCTGCAACTGCAGTCGGGGTTCACGAGTGTCAATGAACATAGCAAGAAGACAAACGTGGCAAGAGACCGCTGACTGCGAGGCCCAAGGCCTAGCCCGAACAAGTCACCGACTGCGCCTCTGCCAGGGACCGTCTTCGCTCCTTTGGCTCCTTTGGCTCCTTTGGCTCCTGTGAACTTGGCATTTCGGAGTTCAATCCAAAAGCCCAGCCGTCGAATAACAACCTCCACTCTGTTCTTTTGTTTGGTGCAATTGCGATGTTAGAGATTTGGGGGCGTTTCAGGGTGCGAAAGAGTAACAACCTCTGCGGTTTCGGAACATTTGGGAAAAAAGGTGCAAGTTAGGTGCCGGTAGGGCCATTCGGGGCAGCATCAACAGTGGTTTGGGTTGGTTGCCCGCTTGTGGAGCTCTAACCTATGGAACACTTGCTGGTCCGGCAAATTGCACCAAGCATTCAATAGCCACAACTCAGCTTCCAAAATGCATCAAGTTACTTTCAATTGAAAGGATGAGGTGTGTAACAGCGACAACCTCTAGGCTTCAGTTATGTGTTGGAGAGGTCTGGTTTCGGTTGTCAGGTGACTTGGGACAGAATCCTGCCAATGTTGGCTTCGCATTGCACATGCGGTCGCTTTGATCAGAACGCTTCGAGGCTCCAAACCAGACTCCGGTGCGAAATCTTCTGAGTTCAAAACAAGGGCCTCTGGCTGGGGCCATACTTCTGACACGGCCCCTCATGGCTGTGGGTCAAAAATGGGTACCCAAAATGGCTTGCCCTGGTAGATGGAACCCATGACTAAAACCTGCGGTCCATATCCTGGTTTAACTTTGACCCACACCCTCCTGCTTTGGGACTCACAGCCAAGCGCCAAGGAGAGCATCAGTCTTGCGGGAGCCGGCCCGTGTTCCAAAGCGTGCGGCACGCACCTCCGGAAAGTGCACGTGGGCCGGCTCGTGCTTCTTCCTCGGTCGCAGCCTAACTCCTGGGGGCCATCGGCCGCTGAGAACGCGCAATGGGAATCTTGGCCCAAACGAAGAATCAAACGAAGGCCCAAAGCAACCCCCGCCCAGCTATGAATTGAGGGCCCGGGACTGCCGTCACCCAACTACTGGCCCTAGTTCCACAAAAGAAGAAGAGGAGAACCTCGAGGATTTGCCAGCTGAAACGAGATCTGAACGAGCAGTGAGAGCCAGTCCCTCAAAAATGCGGATGCGACAGTGTTCAGCGTGTTCGCCACATGGTATGCAGGGAAACCAGCACCAATCAACTGCCAAGATGCTGACCGTCAGTGGTCAGATTGCTCCCCCTGCTTCAAGACTATGACACCGCACGCGGGAAAATTGAGCTGACCCTGACCTTCATATGACTTGAGCTATGGCGAATAGCTGGTCAATCCAGGATCCACGCGTCTTTGCTCCATCAAGCCCTTCACTTTTCAAGGATTGCCGCAAAGCATGACTAGCTTGCAAGCGATTCAACTAATGGGCTTCGCCAGATGGCGCTTCGTGATTCACCCACTTGTACAATCCTCCAGCCCACCAAGTGCCATGAAAAAAACAAAAAAAAAAAAAAAACGTGCAGATTTGAAGAGTCCAAAGCTAATCTTCCTGCCAGCCCGGCAAGCTAGGGGATCGCGCGGCTGAGCTGTCGATGTTTTCGAGGCTGCCCTGCCGCCAGTGGGCCGCTCGCAAGGGAGCCAAAGGCTAGTCAAAGTCGTGTCCTACAGGCAGCAACCACATGAAAGTAGGACAAATACATTGCATTAATTTCATTTACATGTGAATTTGCGTTACATTGCATTGTGTTGCATTTGAATAGGATCTATTGTAGTGCACTGCAAACTGCATTGCACCGCGTTGCTGGACAACACAAAATGATCGTGAGGAGTCGTTTCCTTTGAAGCCGAAGAACCTCAAGCGCATTCCTTTTCTTCGAGCGACATCGCCAGAGTTGATCCAGAGCCCGGGGTTCGACGGAAGCGACCCAAATTGGAGCGCTTGAAACCCAAAACAAAAAGCGCTGTTGGGCACGATCCGTCCGCCGACGGGCACCACTCCGTATACATATGCAAGTGAATATGACCACACAAAAAAAAACACGGCTCTGGCAACTCGGACCCAAGTCGTGCCTGGAGGGACCTCGCTTTGGCCGCATCCGGGCTGCTTGCACCATGGCCGCCGTGACCTCCGCCTGGAGCAGGCTGCAAAAGGGAGAGCTGAAAAAGCCGAGGTTTTGCAAGAAACGGTCCTACTTACACGACCTACAAACAATAATCAACTATGGTACAAAGAGGGAATCCATGGAAAACGGTTCATCCAGAGTCCTAGACGCCGTTTTTTGGGACAAAGAAAGTAATTTGGATTAAGTTAGACTTCGAACCTGAAACTAGTGCTGGCTCGATTGCTGCTGTTGCATGCAATGGTCAAAAGAACTGCGGCACGCTTTTGGACTCATGCATAACTAGACATGTCGCATATTGGATTGTTTGGCAGAGGGTGCATGGATGGCCGTGGGCATTGAAAAAGAAGAATGCATAATGTTCCGTAGTGGGGTCCTTCTACTGTGGCCATGCGCTGGACAGGCAAGATTGGCACTGAGCGGGATGCACTTAACGCTGCAATGTCATGGCCAACATGAGAAATATCCTGCATTTGGAACATGCTGATTTCCTACCTCCATGCACCAGCAAAAACTCGCCAAACATATAGGGCCTCAATGGCAAGAAAAGCATTTAAGGGACCCGCCCGCTCCATCCTTGCGCAACGCTGCATGGTGAGCACCATCCAGAGTGGCGTCAAGCTTCCCAAGCCCTCAAGCAGACCACACTACGGGCAAGCAGCGCTCACGCACCCGGGAAAGGGGCGCTTGAAGGAACAGAAGGAACAAAACTCGCAAAGCATCCCCAAGGGTTTCAAAACAAAGCAAAAACAACTCACATGCATTGGGTCTTTAAAAACACAAACATATAACACCCCAATGCGTGCGACAAGGTTCCCCATCTTTGGCACTTTGCCGAAAGCTCCCCACCAGCCTTCGTGCCCTTCTCCGCGTAGCGCGCTGCTTCTTCGTCGCCTTGCGGGGGGTCACGGAAAGGACACCACACGCAGGGGCCGAGGCAACTCAGATGCCCTGGCCATGGGAAAAAAATGCACCCCAGTGGCCGGGATGGAACCCCAAAGGCCTCCGAATCGGCTCTGCCCATCTTTAAGGTTCTTGGGGTTGGCAGAATGGCAATTGAAACTAAGTGTTTTTCCAGTAGAGAGGGTAGACTAAGGGTAGCAACTTTTTCTGCAGTCTATCTTAGTAGGGGAACCCTCCTTCAAAAAAGGGTCAAATGACCCTACTTGGGGACCTTTTAGAGTTACTTGAGCTTGAAGCCAAAAAAGGAAAAGACGGCGCCACTGGGCAACTGGGGGAATACTAGACTTACTAGAGTAAGCCATCCTTCCGCTTTCAAAGGGGGTAACGATGTGTAGTGTCGCATAAAAGTGGGGCCTAACACTTGTCTCCATCAATCATGGCATGGGCCCTCACCGCAATATCGGGTGCCCATTCGCTCCCATGCTCCTCCTGTCAAAGGGTTTGGAAGCAAAATCAATCACCTCGACGCCCCCTTCTTCAGACCAACGTGAAACCCACCGATGCTAGTTTGATTCTTCACTGGCGTTGCCCACGCGGAAGGGCTTCCAGCAGGGTTTCGCTTGAAGTGCCCAACGCCCTGTCGGCCTCTCTCAAAGCCGCCAGTGCTTCGGTTTCAGAAAAGCGAGGAGCGCAGCGCCTGGTCCTGTCTTCCGAACATCCACCAGCTTGGGCAGCGGAGCTTTGGGCATCTTCAGCCTCATGCCGGGGGGGGGTGTCATATCTCCTGACTCATTCTCCTTCTGCCAGAAGAAGGGACCTTCATTTGGCTTAATATGCGACCCAAAACAAAGGGACTGTCTATGGTGCTTTTCATTCCTTGCCCTGTTCGGCCTCGCTTGGAAATGACGGGCGGCTTCGCCACACCCGGATCCTACCGAGTCAACATGGCCCGGGAAATGCGGCTGCGCACCTTCCAACCCCAAAGAACCTCAAGGTTCTACCAGCAAAGCTCTGTGGCAAAGGTCAAAGGCTAAAATTTGCAACCTCTGACATGGATATTTGGACGAACGAACAAGCGGGGATACGGAGGGAGCGGATTCTGCTAGTTGGTTTCCTTGAGATATGGCCAGTCAGGTCAGCCAGGCCCTAAAGCCATGAAGCTTCAGATTCCAAGTGACCTGGACTTTGCCCGAGGGTCATTCGCCACCGCAGCTGCAATGGCCTGCTGGCTGAGGTAGCCATACCTGCAGCGCATGAGCGCAATCGCAAGGCCCCCCTTGAAAGGGACACCGAGCGTCAACCGGCGAGAACACGGCTAAATCAAACAGTGCCCTGCGTCGCGCTTCTTCTTTGCCCAACGTGACTTTTGCGGAGTGGTATGCGGTACAAGGCCAACCCCACGTCGTATCAATGCTCAGTAGCAGGTGTTTGACCAACATGAGGGTATCATCTGCATGCTTTGCTCGCCGCGTGCTTGCGGTTTGTGCTTGCTTGAGTTCCCGCATCTCCGACCAAAAAGGCAAGCGTTACAGGTTCCCAAGGTGGCGATCAAACCCCTGTTCCCCTCCATCTGCCTTACCTGCGGGCTACAAACTGCAGCATGCAGCTTCGAAACATCTCAGCATCTCTTCTTGAACTTGAGGAAAGAGAGCTATGAGCAAACTCACGCCAAACTCACGTCAACAACCAGCATTGCTGCGCCCCTGCTCAGACTTCTTAGCCTGATCTCAGTGGCGGAACAAAGGAGAAACAAAACAGGCTCTGCGTCAAGCTGCAGATCCCCAGAGTGGACGGAGGACAGCGTCATCACGGAATCCCCGAGCAAACCTGCGACTCAAGCAGCGTAGCACTCAAATTGAGTTCACTCGATGATGCGATCGGTCCTTCTGCATCCCCAGAGGGCATCATTGTGGAAGCGGAGAGCTCCCGCCTGCAGGTGGTGCTGGGGAAGAGATTAAAGAGCTTGTGCCGGTGACAAATGCGTCCGGCACAAGTCCTACCATTCGTATGTGCTCGATGCTTGGGCTGCCAATCACTAAACAAACAAAATTCAAGACCCCCAAGCGTTCAGGCCTGAGTTGAGATTATTTAGCAAGTATGTGTATTTGTTTGTATGACTCTAGTCAGGCTTGATAAGACATTAAATAAGCCGAGGTGTTTCTGGGGTTGAATGGTGCTGGTGGGTTTGGGGCCCTGCATAAGGCAGCGAGGCTGGGCGGCCGGACCCGGAGTTCTCCTGTCGAGGGGAGGCTGAATGTTCACCTCGCTTCCTTGGGATGCAGGGCCTATTGCCTTACCCTCCAATTGACATTGAACCCTGACAAAGGGGTCCTGAAAGACTAGGTCCTCCAGTAGAGAGGTGAGGATAAGGCTACCCTTTTATCTGTAGTCTATTTTAGTGGGGGAGCCCTGCCAAAAAAAAGGAAAAGGGCACTACTGGGGGACCTGAAAGACAGTTTTCCTTTTAAAAAGACCCCCAGCCAGGCTCCATGTCAGTTGGTGGAAGGGTATGCTGGCTCAGCCTGGCTTTCTGGCTGTCGATACCTGTCGGGTGTGGTCGGAGTTGGCTGGAGTATTGGGGTGACGCGTGCATCTTCGGAGATGTTGGCCATGCGGATCTGTCCACATGCTGCGTTCCCAAAACAAGGTCACTCACCACATATTGAACGCTGGGGGTCAAAGCATATCCAAAGTAAATTCTTTTCAAACCTATGTCAGGCTCAACAAGCAGGCGTGTAACAGGGATCCTTACAGTATACACCTGAACATTGCCTTGTACATGGTGGTTTCCCTTTATTTTGGTGGAAAAAGCCATGCTTCAAATGGGCAAAGTGTATCTTTTAAGGAGCCCTGTTTTCAGAAGCGCAATCCGTCCTTTTTGGGGAGGGCTTCCTGTTCCTGACTTGGGATTGAATTGGCGTGTCCTCTTGGGCCAACCCTTGCACCACAAAACGCTTGAGGTCCTCCAAGTTTGAGACAATCTCACCTCACTTGCTGCGTGGATGGCCCAAAACAGCCCAAACTGTACATTTACCACTAAAATTTGGTCTTCCCAAAAGGTTTACTGTAAAGTTCATGAACCCAGGAAGTGAGCCACATATATCTTTATACGGGTGTGGTTGTCAAAACCCGTGAATTCACCACAAACTTTGGGACCTATTTTAGTGGTTGGATTGGTTAATGTTCACCGGGGGTACGATTTGGCTTTTGACCCATGGCCATATTTTCACATTGCCCAATGCAGCTGATTCCTTGCACTCCCAAGCGGCTCTCCATGTTGGTCGCGCAACCTGGGCGTGGCACCAAGAAGCATCCCCTCACGCAGTCTGGGCCTGCATGGGGGCAGTGATTCTTGGCTAAGTAAGCAAAGTCCCATAAGATTGCGAGGCGCAAAGCAAAGGAAGATCACTTGTTAGTGCACATGTTTTCGAGCTCGGAGGCTACTCAAAGACTACACTTCTTGGTTCAACACCTGAGCTCTCACACCTCATGTCAGGTGAGATGGTCCGAAGGTTTGCCTTCGGTTTTGTGTGATTGCCCTTTTTGCGGGTGGTTAAAAAGAAGTGGAAAGAGACCCCAGACACACCCAAGCTTGTCAGCTGTTGCGTGTCCGGTGCTTCTTCGCTTAGCCCAGCACGTGCATGAAGAAGTCCTTCTCTGTAAGATGGTTTACGACTTTCTGCGCGATCGTGCCAGAGAGGAGTGAGAGAGATGCAGCAGCAACATTTAGGCCACATATTAATGCTTCAAATACCTACACTGAGCCCGAAAATTGGTTGGCGCTCTTCTGAGACACCCAGGGCCTCTCACCCATTGAGCTTGCCAAAACTTGGGCACCCTCTTCCAACCATGGAATCTGACAGAGCTTTTGGAAGCCACGGGACTTCTGCACCGCTGGGTCTGCGAGGAAACCGCGGCCGAGGAACTCCTGGCAATGGACTGAAGGGCCCCTTCCACCTTCGGACCATGGGCACTTCTTCTTCTGAGTCTTTGACCTCAACCTTTTGGCAGTCCGGGTGTCCGTGAGTTTCATCAGAAACTACCTTTCCACCGCAAATCGTTGCAGGCGGCACCTTTTGGAAACCTGCTGTGCTCTCGGAAAGAGAGCCTTTGCGCACAGACACAACAAACAAACAAACAAACAAACAAACAAACAAACAAACAAACAAGCAAGCAAGCAAGCAAGCAAGCAAGCAAGCAAGCAAGCAAGCAAGCAAGCAAGCAAGCAAGCGCAGAGAAAGAGACAGAAAAGCAGAAAGAGAGAGAGAGAGAGAGCAAAACATGAGACTCCAAGAGACACCAAGGCGCACACATATCGTCACATACACACAAACACACCAGCGAATACGTGCACACAAACACACAGGAGGCACACTAAATCCAACCACATGCTTCCGGATTTGAACTTTCAACATTGCCAGCCCATCCGAACTGAATCAGCAGGAATGTATAACTTGTTTGCCATTGCCTTGGCTTGCTTTCTGCTTTTTCTCCACGAGGCTCACCATGGCCCACCTCTCGGATGCTCACTTCCCTGCCCAGTCCTTGCTTTTCTCCTGAGCTCGAAAACAAAACCAAGCTGACCATTCGCAAGTGGAGCCCAAGTCGGAAATTGATGTGGACCGCGGCCTGGATTCTATTTGCACCACCGTCAAGCAAGCTTGCCTTGGGCTTGTTCCCGTTTTTTGAACAAGCACAGAAGCCCCCCGGCAAGTACAGGACTGCGAGTCATCTGCTGAAAGCTGGCCATTTGCCAGGCGAAAAGAAAGTGCTCAGGCCTTCAAAACGGCATCTACTCCTTGGCATGAGGGCTGAACTTTGAGGATGGTAAGTGATGGTACTCCTCTTGTTGGGGAGCTGCGCTCGCCGCACCACACACACACACACATACGGCACATACGCATGTTTTCTCGCTCAGTTGAGTACAGTCTCATGCTTGCCTGTCTCTGCAAAACCCCTCAGCAACCACCTCCCACTTTGAGTTCCCACTGGTGTCCACACCACTCTGACCCAACTCCCTTCCATGCTGGGGGCCGCAGCAATGCGTTGCCACTTGTTGGCACAAAGGCTCGAATTTCTTGTAGATTCTCCACTCTCCCCTCACAAGGGATGAGGAGCAGAGGATATTGCTCACAAGGTTCTAGAATTCTGCAAGAGCATTGCCATCAACAAAGCAGTGGAACATCTTGAAACAGGTTTTAAGCTATTTAACGCTTCTTGTCGCCTTCTGGCAGCGGCTTTGGCAAGCTCTTTGGGAGGACAGTTGCGCTCCCCATGCAGTGCTCATCCCCAACTCGCTGGTTTGGACATGTGGCCCCTTACCCGTTTTTGGAACGATGCTTCCTGTGCAATCCCTTTTTTCTGCGCGTCCAATCGCCACCGATGCGAGCCATGGGATTTGCACCTCAAAAGGCGCTCGCTCACTTGGCGCTTGGCTCGCCGGAGGCGAGCTCAGGGCTCAGGGCAGGATGGCCTCGAAGCTGCGCTTGGCGTTGCCGGTGATCCAGTCGCTGATGTCCTGATTCACCCCGCCGTTCTGCGCCTTCAGGTCGCAGCGCTTGCTGAGCACCTGCTCAAAAACAGTCACACGCTTCCGCTTTTGGTCTGGACGCTGGGGGACTTCATTTCTGGCCATGTTTCGTGGGGGGGCCCACATAAGGAGATAGGGCGATACTGAACAACGGGAGTTGTCACATGTCCTGCTACCACCAGTGATTACCGACATATGATTTTGTTAAAGAAAGAGGGAAAGGCACTCGTAAAAGGCACCATGCTTTGCGACATGCCTGTTAACACGCTGTTGGGGAGGTGAGCGCGTAGCCATTTCGCGGGAAAGCATGCGACTGTGCTGTTGCCAGACATTGTCGTTGGCCCTTTCTTGGACCAAGCAAGTCACTTTCTCTTGTTTGGTTGTATCTATTTGCTTGCTTTTTCTTTTTCCTGCCGGCCTGCTTGCTTGCTCCCCCTGAACAACGCCAGGAAAGTCTTATTCAAGCAAATTATCTTCAAACCATCGGGTGGGCCCACTCAAGCACAAATACTCTGTCCCCATGTTTGTTCTGGATAAATGCTCACCTCCATGGGTGTTTCAAGAATCACGTGCCCCTTGGAGGGGTTCCAAGGCAAATCCAAAGAACACCAACCATCTGAATGGGCCTGCAAATGCTGGATCCCCAAGTAAAGGACCCTTATCATGGTGAGCCCGTTATACTGAGCTTGCCATAAAACACGCAGAAGCATCTGAATGGGGCTCCATAGGTCCATTTTACCCACCTTTTTTCTGCCTGGAAGTTCCAGTGGTAGCACTTCTCGTCATTCTCGCAGGCGGTGGCGCAGGCGACCGGGTCCTCCACCCCGGGCACGGCGTTGATGTAGTCTCCGTAGAGCCAGGCGCCCTTCATGCCCACCATGCCCTCAGACATGGGCAACCCCTGATTTGCTTCAACCCGCTTGGGTTTTGGTGCCACTGAAGGCCGGAGAAAAAAAAAAAAACGAGGCCTTTTCCACCGGCTTCGTATTTTGGTGCCACTGAACGGGGAAAACGAAGCCTACTGAACTCAATGCACTAAGCCCCGGAAGTGGGGATTGTTTCTTGTCGCGAGTCTGAACGGACGCGGCAGTGCGCTATCCAACTTGGCTGTGCAATAGAACCCCTTCCAGAAACCAACGGCCTCTAACGCTATCCCAAAATGGCCATAGGGCATAACCTGTGGCGATCTTATTTTGGGGTGGATGAACATCCATTTGCCACCTACTTTGATGTTCACCAGGGGTACCCACAGCCAAATGGCGCTTCTTGTCCTGACTACTCTTTGTGGGACCCCCGGTCCCACAAATCGGAGCGGAGCCGCTGCATTGCCCAAGCTCTCCAAGTGCGCCTCGCGGTAGAACCTCGGGCACAGAAACGTGGTGCATGGTATTCAACGCCGCAGGTGTCTCCGTTTGTTTGGGTGTTTCTGATTTGGGGCAGCCTACCAAAAGGCTGCCCAAAATCAAAGGCGTTGTAAGCCGTGGACTTCCAAACGTGCGGTCGTCACTTGGCCAAGTGTAGTTGCCAAGTTGGTGAATCAGCGTTCTATTTGCTGGCTGAAAAGGTGTCATGGCTGGAAACTGGCGGCCACTGAAATCGGAAATTGCACACTTGCAACCTTCGACTCCTGAATTTACCCCGTTGGGGATGATTTGGGTGGAATACTTGCTGCCTCATAATGCCTCCTATAGTTTGTGAATTTGATATTGCCAGCTAATATTTTCCCTTTTTCTTCCCTTTTTCCCTGACCTTGTGCTTCGGACACACAGCTTCCTTTTCGGCTTCAGCACCGCATGCCACGATCCTTCAACTTGTGCAAGGGGTATAGCCAGCTGCGTCTTCGAGCTCGGCTGTTTCGAGCGCTGATTCAGCCATATTTGTTTGGTTTGACGCACATGGGCGTGAATCCCACGTCACTGGTGGAAGTTCCGGGACATGAGGCTGAACTTGGCCAATTGGACTCGAATGGTTCCTTCCTGGGCCTGGCGTTTGCGTGTTTCGCCTATGCGCACGTAACATGACAGCTTTAAGTGCATGACACCTGTGCCTTTGCATTTCATAGGCGCCTGGATGGCGGTGACTGGCGTCCGAAAATACTTGCTGCTGTTTTCTGTGCAGCTGCTCAACCTGCTGCAGATGCGAGCTCCCAGGCACAGACTTGTATACAGGAAAAGTACAGCGCAAGGCAATCAAAGGCTTAAAGCGAACATGCCAAACCGATGCCGATGCACAAACAAAACGAACGCATGAACGACCAATAGGCAAGCAAGCAAGCAAAACAAGAAAATACTAAATGCGGCTGAATTACTCGCTGGGAATCTGAGAGTAAGTTTTGGCAATACTAAATTAGAACTGTCAATACTAGATTTAACTTGGAACTGGCAATACTCAATAAAAATTGGCAATACTAAACTAAGCACTAGGAATTTGAGAGTAAGGGTTGGCAATATTACATTTAGGATTGGCAACGCTCAACTAAGTAATGGCAGGTCGAAGTCGCACCCAAACGCCCAGGTTTTGTACTAAAGCGACCCCCATCTGGTACCACTCTGGGGGGGGGGGACATTCAAGCAGACCCAACAATACCCAGTCAATCAAACAAACAAGCAGCAAGCAAGCAAACAAGCGACAAGCAAGGCAAGCAAGGCAAGCAAGGCAAGCAAGGCAGGCAAGGCAGGCAAGGCAAGCAAGGCAGGCAAGGCAAGCGAGGCAAGCAAGGCAACCAAGGCCGCCAACATACAATCAAGCAAACAATCTAAGTCGTAACCAACCACACCAAACCAACCATGCACACACGCCAACTCACACTCAAACAAACAATGCAAAGCACCAATTACCCAACCAAACAAGCAAGCAAGCCCGAAAGCAAACACGCAAAAACACAAAGAAACAACAAACCAACTTAGCAAACAAACATTCATCATCCTTAATGTTGAGACAATTTCAAGACTCCAACACTCGCAAACAACATGGCCAGCATGTGCGCTTCCACAGTCGTGGCCACGGTTGTGCCTCCCAAGACTCTGCTCCTTGAATACGCTTGCGTGTTCTCTCATCTGGGCGAATCGTTCACCAACTTGAAGGAAGTCAAACCCTCACAAGAACTACCGTCATACGTGAAGTCGCAAACCAAACTTGGCGTCCCTTTGGGGATAGTTGAGCAACACCACGCTATTTTGCACCGTGGCGTATTCGAACTACTGCAAGAAGCACCCAAACAATTCCCTTGTCGCCCACTTGCCCAGCAAAATGCCGTTGTGTAAAAACGAAGCAACAACGGCGGCGAGCTCTGCGAGTCGCGTGATGAGCTCATCGCCGGAGAGCTCAGGAGGTGCCTGCGGCACCTCTGGCACCTCCGATGTGGACCCTACATGGACTGGGGATTGGGATTTCACAAGTGATTTCTAAATGCTTTGGTCTTAGGCCCCTGCAACCCCCTGTAGAAAGATTTGCATTTTGCTGATATCTTCTGGGACCTAGCCGAGTCTTCAAACCTTAAGGGCAAGGTAAATGTCATAAACAGGAAGCCTGGCTACACCCCATGCCTCTGGCGGCACGTCCGGCACGTCCGGCACGGTCTCCACTGGGGCGGACGGAGTCTCCACAGGGGCTGCGGGCACGTCCGGCACAGTCTCCACGGGGGCGGACGGAGTCTCCACAGGGGCTGCTGGCACGTCCGGCACAGTCTCCACTGGGGCCGCTGGAGCCTTGGTTGAGCGTGGAAGAGCTGTTGAAGGAAGTGTGGGGAACAGCCTGGTGTCAAAAAGACACCCCCGCCTGACCTCATTGGAGCCTAGATACGTGTAGCTAGTTTTGAACAAGGCAACGCCGCTAATAGTGATTCGGGTTGTTAGCGACCCCGCAACCCAAGCCGTCTTGCAAGAATCAGCACAACTCCCAGGTGTTGAGCGTTTCTGCGGAAACATCGGGAACGCTTCAACCATCAACTGAATTGTGTTTGCAACATTTCAAACTGCATGAACCGGGTAAAACCGAAGCCTGACTGGTTGTGACGGAGCAAGGTCTCGCAGCCCGGTTCCTTTTCCGCCTTGTTCAGTCTTCCTTGCCAACACTGCTTCCAGAAAGCCTGTGCCACTTTGAGGCTCCAAATCGGGGCCTCTGATGGTCTAAAGAAGCCTGGAGTATGGTCTAGTGACCCTGGGATCAAAATCTGGATCAATGACCATGCCAATACAACATAGGATAGATACAAGGCCGGGGCCTGGTGCATAATCCGATGTAAGGCAATGCAAGCTAACTGGAGCGCTCCCTTGTCTCAGGGAAGCGCGCGATTGCATTCAGAACCGGCGAAGGTTTCGGCAAGAAAGCAGAGTTTTCGCTGCTCTCTTTTCAGGAACACGTACAACACACCGTTTCAACTGAACAGTCATCAAGCCAAGACTCCTCCACTGGTGCTGCAGGCTCCTCGACTGGCGCTTCGACTGGCGCTGCAGGTGTCTCTGGCGTTGCAGGAGTTTCCTCTGTGGGTGCTGCGACTTCTGGCTGAGCCACCGGGGTGGGCACGTCTGCGGCGCCCAGGACAAGCAGCAGCGCAAACGCAAAGACACGCGCCATGGCGATGAGTGCGAGAAGCGAACTGAAAGCGGCTCGAGGCGAGTTGGCTGCAAGCCAAGTGTCAATTAATGAATCGATGCGGCTTTCTGCGCTGGGAATGCTGACGCTTCAAACTTCACACCATGAAGCCCAGAGGCTTCTGTGCATTTCCGCTGTCACGAGCCCAAGAAAGGGAATCCATACCTGAAATTCGCCAAAGAGGTTCAACCAGCAAAAGCGGAACTGCGCCGCCTACCCCCCCCCCACCAAAGAAAAACAAATGCCTGGCTCCTGTGAACCTGGCAGCCTCCCGTGCTGGCCAAGTCTCTGCTCCCTTGCGGCGCTTCGCGGCAGCTTTGCCTCCAAGGTTCATCATGTTTGTACCAGGCTTTGATTACGACTCGCTTGGGCAACTCCATTGAATAGAGCTTGTGCACCCCTTCTCAGTTGCATAAACAAATGGCATCCCTCCCGCACAAGAGCTGGCTGCACCCGATGCACCTGTATAAAACACGTAATTCTACACGAAGCCAATCCGCTGGCGGCCATTCAAACAACACACCAGCCACGTGAATCAAACTCCTACATTCAACGCAGCTAGCCGTCCAATTTATCAATTCTAACAGGGGTTGGTGAAGCGTTGTCTCTACCCAAGGAGCACTTGCGTAAAAACGGTTTCAGCTATCACATCCAAGCGAACGAGAATCCTCGAGTGATTCCGGCCAATGAGTCCCTGGCCCTGCGCGGCTTTGTCCTGCACTCATCGCGTCATTCGCCCCATGCGCAACAAGGCAACGCCATGAACAATTGCCACTCAAAAAATCAATTCAGCACTTTGACAAACTGTCCTTCGCGAAAAGCACCAAAGATGTGCCAGGCATCCTGGCCACTACTGCCTATTTGCTGTCATCTCACATCTCTCGCCCCTCTGGGTTTGCGCATATTCTGAGACACACGCGCTGATGTTGGAACTCGAACGGAGATGGGTGCGTGCGTGGTTTAGGTTGCGATGGCACGGGCAAGCCTTAGATAGCCTTAGAACCCAAGCAGCAAACACGGTGAAATCCAAACGAGGCCCAACAACGGTCAGGCATTGCTGCACTTCTGAATGCCACCACAAGGCGTGCAACTGGTCAAGTGATGATCCCGTGGCATGTTGAGACGCATGAATGGTCGGGAAATAAGACTCTGAGAGGTGATGCTTTCAGCTCAGTCGGGTGCTACCTGAAGCCTAGAAGTGACCATATTTTGTCCGGAACTTGCCAAACTCAAAATGCAATATCTCGGCTCTGGGGTGCACTGCGGAGCGCACCCTTTTCTTGAGCCAAAACCACACGGAGTGCAATCAGCGCATTGGGCAATTATGACTATACATATCATGACTCCTCCTTGCTGGAAGAGCGTCTCTGTACACGCTCGCACAGCAATATAGGTAGCGGAGTCTGGCCAGGGACCTTAGCCTTCTAGTAGCTTAAGCTGTCCCTTGCTACGCTGGTTAAGGAAAACATAACCACACCTTCGCATGGTCTCAGACATCTGTACACCTGGAATGCTCTTTGTTAGAGCATCCGCCCTGTTGGACTTGCCAGGGGTATGCTCCACCCTCAGATGGTCCATGCTGACCCTTTCCTGCAACCACAGGAACCTCGTCTGGATGTGACGGGCCTTTCCCAGACCTGCCCGATTGACAGTTCCTTTTGCTGCAGTCGCATCTGATTGAATCAGCACCTGGGTCTCGACCGCAAAGTCCTCCAAGAGTGACTGTAGGCCTAGACCAACTGAACCTCCTTTGACAAGAGCATAATACTCCGACTCCCCAGTCGACAAAGCGATGGTCGACTGCACATTGCTGCTGTGCTTGAGCACATGCAACCCATACAGAGCAACCATGCCTGTTGTGGATCTCCTCGTTATTGCGTCTCCGGCATGATCGGAATCCACCTGGATTCGGAGCTTGCTCGGCTTGGCTTGCCGTGCAAAGACCTGACACACGTCCGGCTTCTTGATGAGGTAGCGACACAGTCGCTTCAAATCCTGCAAAGATGCCTCTGTAGGAGAAACCATCTTCCTCGCAAGATTCTTCACAGCGTGGCTGATGTCCAACCTGTCCTGTGACAGGTACGCTGCCCTCATCACGCATGAGCGATACAGGGAAGCCTGCTCTTTCGGTAGAGCTGGGCTCCGGGCTTCCTGCATCTGCAAATCCACGGACTTCTTCACGTCCGGTGTCTCCGCTCCCTT